TTCCCCCCTTCACACTCCGCCTTAACCCTCACAACCCCCGCCGCCGTATCCAACACCACCCTACTAACCGGTTCTTCCATCTCCAGCAACCCGCTCTCCAACAACACAGTGGTAACGCAAATAGTATTACTCCCGCTCATAGGCGCATACTCGTCGCTCTCCAGAATGAGGAAACCGGCATGAGCGGAGGGGTCGCAGGGGGCGAGCAGCAGGTTCATGCATTGTGAGACGCGGCCGAGTGGCTCTTGCATGAGGCGTTGCCGGTAGTGGTCTGCGTTGTGGAGGAAGTATTGGAGTTTGGCGTACATGGTGGGGAGGTGGATGGGGTCGGGGATGCCGGAGGTTATTACGTCGCCGATTTCGCCTTCGGCGTGGACGGTTGTTATGTGGATTATTGGGGAGGGGGGGTTGGGTGGTGGGGTGGACATTTTGGTGGTGGTGAGGGTGGAGGGTGTGCAGGGGAATGCTGGGGCTGGAGGAGGTGTTAGTATGTGTAGGTTTGTTGATTAGGGATGATGTGTATTTATACCGACAGTTTAGTGATTTGATATCGTTTCGTGTATCTCCTTCTTGCATTCGACAAGTTGATAATGCTGTGTATCCAAACTCCACACAATCGGCGCCTGGAAGATGTTCTTGAGCAAGTCAATATTTCGAGAGACTATATATCTATCACTCCAGAGATAAACAGAGTCAGCGTACTATCGAATCCTATACACGACCCACACAAATGTACTCGCAGGGCGTGCTGAGCACAGCCAAGTGCTAAGATGCATACCCCGCTTCCTACAACGAGGGGTCAAGCTTACCAATATGTCAAAGACGAACTGTGTTTATAAGCAAACGGCCACGAGCAACTCAGATCAGTGGGCCTGAACGCTGCATGTCGACGATATTACTATTAATCTTCCAAGAGGCGACTCTTTCTCCCTAAGTTCTATGACATTACAAACAAGGACTTTGCTCTGCAAAGCGAGACTGCTATACTCAAACTTTTGATGCAACGAACGCAAAGAATGGTATGTACACGCAGAAAGAGGTAGCCGATGACGGTCGGCCTGCGATCGCATAAGCATGTATACACCTTAAACCCACCCATATCGTAACGGCGTCTCAAGATCAACCTAATCTGCAATATGATGCAGTTGGCAGGACCTTCTATCGCAGCTTCTTCGTCTCAGAAGCGTATGTGCGGTCATTCTCGTCACCCTCGACTTCCTCGACCATCTTGTCAACAGCCTCAGCCTGCTTCTTCCACTCGCTCTGGCACATCTTAAGTTCCTTCTGGAAGAGCTCGTCGTTGGGCTTCCTGTAGCTTCCACCAAGACGGTCCCAGAGCGTCGTGTATTGACCGTAGTTGTAGTTGAAGTATAGATGGTGCATTGTATGGCAAGCAGCACCATTGATGATAGGCGAGTTGTGCGCGTATTCGCCGTCATGGATCAGGACGGTCCAGATGTTGACGAAGACGAAGAGGAAGACGTATGCGAATTTTGAGAGCGGGAATATGAAGGGGAAGATGTGGTAGGGAAGGCCCTGGGCGTAGCCGTCGGCGGGGTGGAACGCGTGCGAGGCGAAGGGCGTGGGCATGATCCACTTGTGGTGCGGCTTGTGGACGTGCTTGTAGATGCGGGGGTGGTGGAGGCCGCGGTGGATCCAGTAGATGGCCGAGTCGGTGAAGAGGAAGAAGAGCGGGAACTGCAGGTAGTTGTACCAGAGCCCTGGACCTTGGTCTACGGTGTCGTATAGCTTGGAGTAGCCGCGCACTTCGAGCAGGAACCACGGTACGGTGAAGATGGCCATGATGGGGAAGGCGATGTTGGCCTGCTTCATCTCTTGCTTGATCTGGTTCTTGAGGTAGCGCGGGTGGTTGAAGGTGGACTTGTCGAAGACGAGGAAGTACGAGGCGCCGGCGAAGACATAGTATACTAGGACACCAAAGAGCCTGGAGAGTTGTTAGAGGAGTATGGCACAGAAGGCTCGGGCAGCGCATACCATGTGATGAGATACAAGGATACGGCCTGTCGCCGCCAGTCGTCGCGTGTCCATTGGCTCATGTAGGCATACTTGGAGGGCTCGACGGAGAAGAATTGCGTCGAGGGCTCATACTGCCAGGTCGCGTGCGGAAGAGCAAAGCCCGTGGGCTCCTCTCTAATGCTTGAAATCGTTGCATTGCCGGCGAAAGAGGGTGTGGAAGCGGGAAGGAGGGTTGCGTAGAGAGGGTCGAAGAGAAAGGTGTCTGCTAGTTCGAGGACGACGTCCATGGCTATTCGGCTGGGGCGAGGGACGCCTCGGCGATCGGCGGATTCAGGTACGGAAGGCCTGCGATTCGTGATGTTTGAGGACCAACAGGCGCACACAATGCAGGTACACGTCACAACAAGAGACAGGCAATAAGAGCAATGCAAAGAGAGCAGAGTATCTAGGATAGAGTATAAACGAATGTGGGGAGGCGAATGCTCTCGTTCAAGTAGGTAGTCATAACGGCAACGCTTCCATTTATCGGCGATAAGTTTTCGGCGCCCCGAGTACAAGCGTCCCTGAGGGAAATGTCGCCAGGGTCCATGTTAACTGCTTTGGTTCCTCAACCGTCGACGTTGTGCCAATCAAGCGTCAAGACGGCCGACTAGACACGCTCACGTGACTACGCATCACAATTTCGCGCGCCGGAATCGACGCATCCGCTGGTTCCGGAAGTGGACTGACAGCCCTACAGACGCTGCCCCTTATCAGATCTTCTCATCCGATCCTCGGAACATGCTCGGACGGTGACAGCACGGTTGACACGCCACTCTTGCGCTTACAAACCGTGATTGCGCGTTTTGTGGCGTGCATTGTCTTGACTGGTAGTGAGAATCAGTTATTGGTGGCATGGAAGGTTTGGTTCTAGGCGGTCTCGGCAGACCCTCTTGTGAGTCGTATACAGCTGATGCTCATTCGTCTCTATGTCATACCAGGCCTTGACAACACAATTACTTTGCCACAATGCTGACAACGTCCTCATCGGCCACTACATGCCCCAAGCCCACCTTCTGCGGCACGTGCCTGGCACTCGCGCCCCAAACCAGCGCATGCTTGAACGTCTCCTTCAGCGTCCGATGAACTTGGTCGCAGACGTCTTCGATCGTGCTTCCGTGCCGTACAATGAGCGCCTCTGAGAAATCTGGGTCGTTGCCCTTCCTCTTTGTGTACACCCTAATCAACCTCAACTCTTCCCAACACCTGTCCACGACGTCTTGAATACCGAGATCGAGCTCACAGCTCATGACGACGGTATGTGGCTCGCGTGCTAATTCGTCCAAGTGCGGGAGACCGATGCTATCGATCTTGTTGTACACGTAGAGACACTTGATGTATTTCCTGTGGTCCTTCATAATGACGTCGATGAAGTCGTCGACTGTTGCGTTTTCGTCTCGGACGAGGACTTCGCAGTTGAGCATCTTGTAGTCTTTGAGAATGTTGTAGACCATCTTCTCGTCGAGATGCTTGGGCGGGACCTGGAAGTTGATCTTCATGCCGCCAGCCTTCTTGGGCTTGAGATAGATGTTCCTGTTGTCGATGAGATTCTGACGTAAGGGGAAGTATTGAGGTGAACTTACGGTGGCTCGCGGTTCAATCTGATACCCACAGCTTCCAATTCAGCTTCCAGCAATCGCCTCTGTTCCGCCTTCTTCGTAGCATCAAGAATCATGCAGACAAGATCACTCGTCTTCGCAGCACTAATGACCTGTCTTCCTCGTCCCTTGCCCTCCGCAGCGCCCTCAATGATACCCGGTAAATCCAAGACCTGAATCTCAGCACCACCATACTCAAGCACACCTGGAATCGCCGTAAGCGTGGTGAAGGCGTAGGATGCGGCTTCTGATTTTGTCTTTGTGACTCTGGAGAGGAAGGTCGACTTTCCTACCGAGGGGAAGCCAACGAGTGCAATACGCGCATCTCCGGATTTCGATACATCGAATCCTTGTCCTCCGCCGGAACCTGCACCTGCGGCGGGTTCGAGGAGTTGTGCGCGGAGACGGGCAAGTTTTCTGTAGCATGGTTAGCATACAGAGACTATATATAGGAGTTATATATAGGAGTATAGATAGTGTACCCTTTCAGTAGACCAAGATGATATTCTGTACTTGAATGTCAGCACGTGATACACAGTGCATCCAGTATCAACAGACTGTAATCTGCTTGTACATACCCGTAGCCTTATTCTCTGCATCTCGTTAGCGCAAATACCATCAAAAAGCACTGTCCCACTCACTCTGCGTCCTCCTCATCTCATCCTCAATCCTGGCGGGGCGTTAGCGCAAGGCCACATCAAAACTTCGGCGCTATCCCACTCTTTGATCTTCTCCGTAATATTCACCATCTTGACGGTTTACTTCGCACTCTTCGCACTCGGATAGAGAGGGACTGGGGTGAGGATGAACGGTAATCGCACTTTGTGGCGGGCTGCAGTCCGGCAATATCACGATGGTAAAGGTTTGGTGTTGCAGCGCCCGCAGCCCAGCGCCGTTGCTGTTTGGGCCTAGCGCGTGAGCTAGCGAGCGCAAGATGCAGTGCGTCATCTGAAAGGCCATGAGCTTTCGCGCCACGCTGGTTTGTTTTGTGGTTTCTAGTGCTTAGTCTTGTTGCTTTCTTTCCTATGTTGTGAGTTTCTTACTTCTGTATCGCTTCTCGTGCCGTCTTGGAAGCATGTTGTTTAAATCCGAGGATCCTTGGCCGCGGTCGCATCACGACTTATTAGATCATTATCACGCTCAATACGATAAAGCTATCGCATCTGGGGAGTACCAACCTTTCTTGTATCCATGGGGGACGCTTGGTGCACTTTTTGTTATCATATATCTTCTCATCCCGCATCAGAACCGCCCGTGGCTCGAGAAAGGACGATACTTGGCATTTGCATGGATTGCCGGATTTGCAACTTACAGTAACCTATACACAAAGGCGAGGGCTGTAGCACCAGCTTTGGGTATCGGTCTGGTCAACGCATGGAGCATAGCATGGGTTGGCGCGATTATAGTGTGCAACGATGCACAGACAGATTTCATGAGGATTGAAAGGACCGGAGGTGTGTTCGGGTCAGATTCAGACCAGCGGAAAGAGAAGACACAACACGATGGAGGTGCAGAAGCCAAAGAAGAAATCAAGAATCAGACCTTAAAAGACGATCTCGTCAACAGCACCTCCGGGCCACGAGACCGCCACGGCCAATACGCATGGCAACCCTACCCCCTCCGCCCCTTCATCGAGCGCCTAGACTGGGTACTGGATATATTCTGCAACTTCCGAGGCATGGGCTGGAACTGGCGCACCAACGCCCTGCCCCCACCTCCCAAACCCATCCAAACGCAACTCGACAGCAACTCCCAATCCACCGTCCCAAAGCACACCTACAAAACCCACTCTGGCCAAGTAGCACAATTCACCTCCCGGCGCATCCTCCTCCGGCAAAACACCTGGCGCCTACTCAAAGGCTACCTAGTACTCGACCTGCTAAAAACAACAATGATGTGGGATCCCTATTTCTGGGGCTTGACAAACAGAGCACCACCACCACAGCCCCACCTCCCCTCGTGGCTCACCAACAGCGCCGTCCTAACACACACATACCACCTCCTCCTCAGCATGCTCGCCGTAAAATACGCCCTCCAAACCATCTTCGCCCTCGGCCCCCTCTTCTTCAGCGGCGCCCTCTCCCCCTCTCTCCTCGGCGCCCGCGCAGAACCCTGGATGTATCCTGAGACGTGGGCGCCGTACAGCGTGGTCTTGGATAAAGGGCTCGCGGGCTGGTGGGGCAGTTGGTGGCATCAGACTTTTCGGTTTGCGTTCCAGGAACCTAGTCGGAAGGTTGTTGAGGGGTTGGGGTGGGATAAGAGGGGGGTGGGCGCGAAGGCGTTGCAGCTTTTTGTCGCGTTTTTTCTGAGTGGCGTTGTGCATGGCAGTGGGAGTTTTACTGCGACTGGGGAGACGAGGCCGGTGAGGGGGCCCATGGCGTTTTTCTTGCTGCAGGCTGTGGGCATTTTTGTTGAAGCTAGTTTGACGCAGGCTGCGAAGGGGGCTGGTCTCGAAGGGACTCTGCCTAGTTGGCTGAAGAGAGGGTGGACGTTCGTGTACGTTCATGTCTGGTTTTATTACACGGCTCATCTTCTTTGCGACGACTTTGCTCAAGCGGGCGTTTGGCTCTTCGAACCGATTCCTATCTCCCTGTTTCGCGGACTGGGATTCGGACCTGATGCGAGAGATGGGTGGTGGTGCTGGGGCGGACAGCTCGTACGCTGGCATCGTGGTGATACGTGGTGGACGACTGGTATTGCGTTTTAGAAGCTTCTACCGTCTCCTACGTGTAAGTCAATTGTCGCAGAGTGCCTGGTAGATTCCCTGCATACAACACTGTAAACCGACCGATAGACCCAGAAAGAACGAGACACAGTTCTTCAAGAACGCACGCCCTGTCTTCCTTAATCTTCTAAGAAGAAAGCTCTCCCGTTTTCACTTCCCCAATCACTGCGAAAACTCAGTTGCGGTACGTGTCCAACGAACACCCGTTTTCACTATTTCACAGATCACCTCCACCTGCCAGCAAAGGAAAAGTACCCTTTTGTTGTATCAGTATACTATCGCACCTCCACATACACCCACCCCTCGCATACCCCTTTACCCTTAAAAAACGTCTACGCAAAACAACCTACATCCTCTGAAAACAACCCCACCCCGTCCTACAGTCGAACGCCGAACATGAACCAAGAGCCCTCACCCACAGATCTCATATTCAACCTAACATGGCGCTACCTCTCCCACGCCGCCGTCCCGGCTATGCTTCTCGCAAGCGCTCTCGACGCCAACGGATCTATCCCACGGTCCTTTTGTCCAGACGTGTATGATGGGGTGAGGAAGACGGTGGGGGAGATGAGGGAGGAGGGGCAGTGGGCGGTTTGGTATTGGGTTGTTGGGCCTGGAGATGGGGAGGATGGAGTGAGAGATAGAGTGAGGGATGGAGATGGGGAGAGGGATGACAGGAGGGAGAGAGTAGGATGGCATCCGTGTTTTAGATTGCCTGCGAATCGGTGAGTGCGGGGGGGTTGGATGGGGAGGTAGTGTGGTTGGGGTTGAGTGGGTTGGGTGTGGTGTGTGGTGTTTGTTTGACTGGTGGATTGGTCACTGACATTGAATAGGCGCGTCGTTACACGTAACGTCCTCACCTCTCCCACTTCTCTCCCCCATACCAACCCTTCCACCACCTCTAACACCGACACATTACCTCCACCCCGTCGCCGCTCAATCTCCTCCTCCTCCTACTTATCTACCAACCCGGACCATCATATCCCTAACCCCATCGCCAACCCCAACCCCCACAGCAACCACACCCGGCGATCAAGCGCCGACACAACGCGTCGAATGAGTTCAGTACGCGAGGAAAGCAAAAGTGAGGAGAGTAGTCTCACTGGCATGGAAGCGGCGAGCGAGAGTGTGAGCGAGAGGATAAGGAAGAGTTCGAGTTTACATGTTAGGCCGGGGATGATTAGGAAATGAATGCATCACTGGTTTAAGGAAGAGAGTTGTATCTGATGATCGGTTGGGATGTGATGATGGGCAGATACCAGAGCAGTAAATAACGAAGCCAACTTGCGTGAGTATTTAGTCTCCGCTCAACTTTGCCCTTTTCTCCCTAGGACCTAACAAGCCCGTTGTAAACATGTAAATAACCAGTCTCTTTTCAGATCATCCTGTTCCTCTTCTCATCCACTTAGTTTCTCCCATTCTACGCTTCTTCTACGGTTCATGCTTTGTACGACTGCCTTTCCTCCGTGTAGGAAGAACATCGGCTTACACTCCCACTCCCACTCAACCCTGTCCCTCCCCATCCACCCGCCTGCATGACAGCACCCCAGCACTCCATGCGTTTCACTCCGTATGACGCGTTTCCCTCCCCAAATCTGAGGTCGACATGACTTATCTCAAAGTTTACACAATGTGCGTATTCCATATTAAGACACACAACAGCATTACCGAGATGAAGGGCGTTCATGCAGGACCATTGTCAGTCGCAAGGCTGAAGCGAGATGTCGAGTCAGTTGTTCCCTTGCAACAACACCAACACCAAGACGGAAAAACCGTCAGCCCTCAGGCATTTGTAATACCGCCGAGTAGAGATCTCAACAGAAGGATAGTGTGACGTGAATAGATGGAATGGTAATAAATAAATATAGTACATACACGCGCCACACTCTATAGCACATGGCACAAGGCCCAGTCCAGCCCGGTCTGTCTAGCCACACACACCTACACAGCCCGACCAACCCAACCTGAACAAACAAAAGACCGCGCACCGACGACAGCAGCGCATCTCGCAGCAGGGTATCGGAAAGAAACTCGGAAGAAAACGATCGCGGAAAAAACAAACAAACCACGATCTCAACGACCATGAACAAAAAGACCCGAGATGCGATGCGATGCAATGAGGATATAATAAGAAAAAAGAAACATTATGACTTTGTATGTGAGGGTTGTGCGTCGCCGCAGATATTGTGTAGTAGGTCGTAACATCTCTTACAACAATAAAAAGTAAGAAAAAAGAAAGGGCAACCGGAATGCCCTGCCCACCCAATCAAGCAGACCCAAGAATCAAGACTGACTGACACCATCAAACTCCTCAAACGACCAATGCAAATGATGTCGATATGCCGCTAAACCGCGTGAATCGTTCTTCTTTGGCTTTTGAACTGTGTTTCTCCTCGTATGTCTTTGTGTTGTGTTGTGTTGTATGGTGGTATGGTATGGTATTATGACTGCGCTTCGATGATGGTAGGTTGCGAATTAACCTGTAGGGTAGGCGTAATGGGGTATGGTAGGTATTGCTCGTGCTGCTGCTGGTGTGAAGTGTCGGTGGGGTGATTATCTTCTTGCGTGTGCGGCCGTGTGCCTGTGTCGGGGCCGAGATGGGGATCTGGTATTTGGACGTCGAGCTGTGGAAAGTTAGTTAAATGTGGTTTAAATGAATGTGTCTTGGTATACGCACTGTCAGGTATCCAGTCCGCCGTAGTGGGATTATGCGGACTGCTTCTTTGGACCCAATGTCGCGGTTCCAGTCTTCGATCCAGCGCTCGAGGTCGGCGAGTTGCTTTTTTACGCCGGTGAAGCCCGCGTCTTCCCAGAGCCAGAAGGTCGCGATGCCGAGGACCGTGTCGAGGCAAGCGCGGAAGGTGAATGGGTCAAAGGCGTCGACGAGGGTGTCATTAATCTTCTTGATGAGTATCCGGAAGTCGTCTTCGGTTACGAGGGGGTCTAGAATCTCGGGGTAGAGATTGGCAAACGTCGGGGCCAGGTCGCCCTTCATCATCCAGTCGCGCTTTATGCGGATGATGCGCGTCGTGTTGTACAGCTCGGAGTCGAGTGGCACATGCGGGTTGGGATGGGGAAAGCAGGGATGCGAAGGGCCCCAGGGGAACTCGGACACGGCGTCGGCGTCGTCGTCAGCTGCAGACCCTGATCGTCTCGAGTGCAGTGAGGTGCGTCCGGAGCCGGGCAGGGAGACGCGCGACAGGCCGGCGGGCTGGTGGTTGCGGCCGGCTTCGATGTCTTTGTCGGCGTGGGGCGCGGGCGAGACACTGTCCCTGGGGTTGGCGGCAGAGGCCATGACGAGGCCTGGCGTAGGCGGCTGGGTGGGCGGCTGGCTCCTGCGATCACGCGGAAGGGCGATGCTGGTGCGACCGCTGATGCTGTCCTCGCCCGTGGAACGTTGGACTGCGAGGGAGCTCGGCGCAGGGCTCTGGCGACTCAGGCGGCGCTCGGGAAGCGAGAGCAGCGGGTACTCGTCGCGGCCGTCCTCCCTGGCTTGCGTCTCAAAGTCGCGCTCAATGGGGAGATTGGGGTAGTGGTCGTCGCGGCGGGGGGGCAGGGCCTGGGGCGCAGGCGCAGGCGGCGGGTTCTGGATCTGGAGGGTGCGCGGCGACGAGTTGACGGGGTTCCAGAGACGCGAGGCGGGCTGGCGCGGCGGGCCCTGGTACAGCGCGCGCAGGTTGAGGTTGAAGATGCGGTTGGTCAGCGACCAGCGGGCAGGCACTGGCGACGCAGCAGGCGGCGGGTAAGCAGCGGAGGGCGGGCGTGGAGTCGTCGTCGTGCCGGTGGTGAACGGGCGGTGCTGGGTGGTGGTGAATTCCTTAGGGGTCCCAAGGGCAAGTGGTCCATGCTCACTGCAGCATTGCCTGCCGACAAGACCAAGTTTGCCGTGGGTGCTGTACTGTTGAGGAAGAAGGAGCAGACAGCGGGGAATCAGGCGTGGTGGATGAGTGCGCTGTACTGTTATGGCAGGATGTCGTCGTGTCGTGGTCGCCGTGGTCAGTGTCGCAGTGTTGGTGTCAACGTCTCACACGGCGGGTTTGGCAATAGCAGAGACAGAAACGGGCCATGGAATTAACTTTGTCGCATGCAGCAGCAGGAGAGGCGTCACCACGAAAGGAAAGAGCGAGGGTGCTTCCTTCTTCTTGTACACGACACGACACGTCCGCCTCGTCCGGCGCAACTTGGGCACCTCCCAGCCCAGGCTCATGAAAAAGCGCCTGCCTGCCATGGCTTGTGCAGGCTGATGACTGCCTGCCGCATCACGCTGACCCCTGCCCCTTCACCCATCCCTCACGTATCCTAGGCACTGTGCCTGCATTAGCCCGGACAATCCTAACAATCCCTAACATTCCCATCCGACTGCTGTCAATCTTAAGCATACTCGACATGCATTCCCTCCCATACGGTAATACGTTGGCGGGCACACCCACGCCTGCCGTCACCGTTGACATCCGCCGTCCGCCTCCGCTGTCGCTCACATGACCCTGACCCTGACCTGACC